TTGATTATTCCGTTTTATATGAATTCCATGTTGTACGAGTCACTTAGATTTTACAAATACGTGAGCCGTTCACAGCCCAGCACACGTATTTGTAAAATCTAAGTGACTCGTACAACATGGAATTCATATAAAACGGAAAAATCAACAGTGTTATAGGGGGGTCGACTGGTACAAAGTTTTTGGTTAACTGTACCTAATCTTACCTTCAAATTACCATACAGATTATTTTATTTTCTATAATATATAGATAACACTCGACAAATTTAAATATGTTACAGCAGTTTTTAATCCTAGAATACCTTTTTTTCCCCTTATAATACATTAATCATTCTAGCTCTAATTTATTTCCACCAGATTTAACTAAGAGTGATGAAGTGACTCAATCGAGGCCCCGCAAAATCTCCAGTAGGCCCTGTTCGTATCACAAAGAAATCGTTACTTTAAATCCATATAACACGAAGATTCTCTATTTAAATTAGCAGGAAAGTTATTACAATTGTATCGATTTAGCGTCATCGGAGCTAATAAAGTTAGATCGAGACTATAACATTAATTCGATTATATATTCCATCGAATTTACGGCAGCCATCGCGACTCCACGTTGATATAAATCGGGCATTGTTATCATGAAAACAGAATGTACAATAAACTTACGCTACGTTCAATTTTACAAACAGCCAACATTCTATGCCATATGATAAATGCAACATATCCATATATATATATAGCCATCTGCCAAGAGCCTAGAGACCATCTGCAATTTTAGACAGATTATTATAATGTCAAGCTTTGGATGTCATGCAAAAAAAACTATCCGTCTAATAAGCTTAAGAGTCAAATTTAATTAATAATGAACATTTTTTCGTTGTAAAAGAAACTTTATTCGATTAAAAATATCATATATTGGCTCTTCTACTAAAATAAAAAGTTATCACTCCTATAACGAAGTAAAAAATACAGTAAACAAAGACTTAATGGACAACTGTTTGTTGAACTTTTGAAATATCTGATAATTTCAGAGATAAATTGTTTCTAGGACCAAAAGAAATTCTCAAGAATCTCGCAAAAAGTTATTTTCTTTTTGTCTTGTTAATTCTCTTTATTTACTCACCGTACAAAAATTTGAATTAAAAATTAAACCTTTTATTTACGAACTACTTTAAGAAATGAGAAGAAAGTTTATAATAATTTCGTTAATTATTCAGTTAAAAATTATTAAAACTGAACCTTGGCATTGAAGATCTTAACTTACTTTTCGTGTACACATTATATTTAATCATAATCATTACCATATATAATTATATACGCATATATTATATAAATTAAGTACATATGTTAAACTGGATATAAAATATACGCAGATTAAACCGTACAATAAAAGGAAAATGACAGAAAATAATCAGGAAGTAACTATAAAATGTCAAATAGGAACATCTAAAATTAATCAAAAAGATCAAGATAACTGAAAAAAAAAGAAAAAAAAAAAAAAAAAAAAAAAAATGATGATCAAATTATTTCTTTCTTGATATTAATAATTTTATATATACAATTAGGATAAAATATTAAAAACAAATGATTTTACTGTCAGACAATTTATTAAAGGTAATAATAATAAATGACACGCAAATCACTAATCGTTTCTATCGCTCCAAATACAGTATTTTTGAATAAAAATAAGGGACGTCTATTAATTACGTGTACAGTTTTGAGTCACCTTTGACCCCCTCCCAACCAATTGTGTACAATGACTTGTTTCGCTTTAATTACGTGTATTTTTAAGTTTTTTTTTTTTTTATAGTTTATTTAAGTAGGCTTATAACAACAAATACCACTAAAAAAATCCGCGTGTACACCCCTTCCTCCCTACACTATTATACACTATGGGGAGGGACCCCATAGTGTATAATAATACACTTTTCGCGACCCCCCTTAAACTGTATACGTAATAAATGGATGGTTTGTTAGTTATTATATACATATTTAAATAATATTTTTAGCTATAAGCGGTTATTATATCGAATTAAAATGTTTATTTTGACAATATCTGATTTTTAATAACAAATACTAAAACAAATCAAGAATTTGAATTTGTAAATACTGTATATAATNAATTAATTAATATTTTATTAATTAATCTCTTAAAATATACTTTATAGAATATATATTAATTTTTTTATTCAGTAATATAATCAATGCGAATACATGGGGGGTGGCTACAATGGCTTAGGCCCCAATTGATTTAAAAAAAATATTCGTTCGAACTTCAAAACATTTACGCTGGCAAATATGGCTAATTGGACCATTGTTGGCACGCATTAATTAATAAAAAGTGCTCGTTAATTATTCAAATATTTTAAAGTTTGAAGTCAATTCCCTTTGTGTACTTTGGATCTATTACTGAATATAATAACTATAATTTAATGTATTTGAGAGGTTGCGGCCGAAGTTTTCATCGCGAAAAGGTGAACGTCGGACGTTCAACGTCGCCTTCCTGTAAGCCTAGAAGTTTGACAATGGCGTTTTGACGTTCCTTACGCCATTGTCAAACTTCTAGGCTTACAGGAAGGCGGAGTTGAACGTCCGACGTTCATGTTTTCGCGATGAAAAATTCGGCCGCAACCTCTCTATTGTAAACACTGATGTATGTATAGTGCCTAGACCAGGCGTGGCGAATGTATGGCATGTGGCACGTATCATATGTCTTTTTCAATCATCCTTTTGGTTTATCATCCGATCACCCTTTTTTCAATCGGCATTTTTACATTTATTCCAATTGAAGCATATTCTTTTACTTTCTTTAAATATTACTATTAGAAGTCAAACGTTGGCACGCATAAACATCTTTATAGCTAGGTATGCTTACTATATGGCACGCGAGCTCAAAAACGTTCGCCATCTCTGGCCTAGACATAGCGAAAGACGGAAAGGTGAAAGCGTTTTAATAACCCTATGTACTAAAATACGTCCGCATTTCTTTTGTTTGCTTAGAATCCGCCAAATGGCACATCTTGTAAAAGCATCTATTCGCATTCAAGTATTTTTACTTTTCCAGCTGTAATATTTAATAACATAGGAAAAGTATGACAATTGGTCAAAAAATAACCCCCAAGATTTTTACATTTTTTGACTTAGAATACCTTGAAACATCGAGAAAAGCAAAAAATTCGGGTTTTTTTTCTGTATGTATGGATGTGTGTGTGATGCAGGCACCATTTTGTTCTTTAAAGCTTAATAACTCCTGTGCCTTTTATCGAAAATTTCTGAAATTTTGCAGGGAGGTTTGTTTATTAGGGGGATTGATACTATTAAATTATGGTGATTAAAAGTTGAGGGGTGGGGAGATAAAGGGGTCATGTATGTCTCCAGTAGGGTCGGACTTAATGACGATTTTACTCATTATTAGCATTACAATTGTTTATAAAACCCATCCCTATCTTCAAAATTAAGCTTTTTGCCATTTTCTAATAGTTAAAAATATAAAAATTTTTAAAAATAAAATATCATAACAGATGGCGCCACCAAATGTTGCCGGGAAAGTTAAGCAACTCGTTGCTGGGTTTTTTTAAATATTTCCTTAAAAAATTAAAAATTTTTAAGCTAATCTATAAGCATATTATATACGATATAAAATCAAACAATTCTCTAATGAGGAACTTACATTATTTAAATTTATATAGCCTATATATATCAGCTTACCCTATAGAAGGCTGCGTAAATGAATTATACGTATTATAGAGTAATCTGGCAGCGATACATGTTTTACCTACACCGGCATTCTGTAAAAATTGAAAATATTAGAATTAGAACAACATTGCTTTATTTTAAAAAACAGTATTTTGTATTCTATCAGAATAAACGTTAATAATAACTGATCCAGAAATATTTAGGAAGAGATGCCTAAAAAAGTACTCCAGTTTTTCTCGGGAAAACCCTCGAAAGGGGGTGCAATGCGCCCTGCTCACCACGTATTCGCCCTTGAACGTTAATGTATGATGATAAATGAACTTAGGTCGAGTATTCTGATAAAAACGAAATTCTATTATCCTCAAACATGTTTATTAATCAAAAGTACTGTTGATATAAATTACAGTATAGCCGAAACAATTATTGTACATTGGATAGGGTTTGTCCGGAACAGTCTTTGATTTTTCCTGTTTTAACCCTCAAAAAATAGGAAAAAAGGGAGCATTTTATAATTCTTCTAATGCAATATAACGATTTAATACGTCAATAAATAAAATAAATTATCTAAATTTAGGCATTTTTAGACCCATTTTTCACTCCTACTTAAAAACTGTCCCGGTTTGGGAGATAGGCTAAACAATACATTGGTCACTAACAACGGTCAGACAATTAAATACTGTATATATAATTACTATCCAGTAGTAAACTACGATATGAGACAGTTCATTAATTACGTTTACAGTGTAAGAGGAGTGACATTGCACTCGTTACATGCAATGATGTACTGTACAGTACGTAACGATTTAGCATTGTCTAAGCAGATCTTAAGTGTTATAAAACTGTACAAGTAATTAATTAATGGACAGCACCTAGGTTCATTCTGTTTCATTAGGCCTATTATTATTATTTTTTAAATATCTAATCATACTTGTGTTGCAACAAAAGATAAAAAGGAGATACAATCAAAATTTCCTACTTTAAAGTAATACTATAAATTGAAATTTTATATTATTGTAAAAAATATACATGTAACTAATAATAAATACTTACTCCGATCAGACACAGTTTAACATGACGTACTTTCGAATTGTTATTTCCTTCCATACGATTACTAATGATTTCTCAATCTGTAGACACTAAAACTTACACTTTCAATATTTCAACGTGCGTGAGGACGATAAGTTCGAAGTTTAATGTCACAATTAATCGTTATTCTAGCTAATATATCACTTCTTTCAATGCCTTACAATCAAAACTGTCAATACAGCTATCTGTGGAAATGTTCGAATACTGTACTGGACTGTACGTTTATCAACACTACCCTTACATTTATCTGATAGATTACTTGCTTACTATTTGCAATGTTAATTAAATAGATGAACGAATTACTATGTGAGTGACTGCACGTTTAACTAAAATAAATACAAAATAATTATGCAAATATAAATTTAGCTACTTATGATTAAACAATTAAATGCTTAACTAGTAAATTGTTATTATTNCACAAAACTAAAATCAAATAATAATAATAATTGATGAAACATGAAATATAAATACAATAAATATATAAAAATTTACAAGTAAACAAAGAAAAGCCAAATATGAAAAAATTTTACAGAAAACATTTCTTTGACAAAAGGGCAATCTATAAATTAACATGTCTTAGTTTTTTCTCCACGATGTACTTCCATGCTGATGGTAATACTGTGCATTTACTGTCCTTAGCGATGAACACCAAAAAGTTAGAAATATACAGAAGCACGATAATGGACAGATGTTTGAACACTAGGGACACTGAAGGATTACAATCAGCATGGAAATATATCGTGGAGAAAAAAAAACTAAGGCATACTAATTTATAAATTGCCCTTTTGTCAAAGAAATGTTTTCTGTAAAATTTTTTCATAATTGGCTTTTCATTGTTTACTTGTAAATTTATATACATTTATTGTATTTATCTTATAATTATAATTATTATTATTTTAATAAAGACCGCTCGTTTTGCCACTCAGGGCAGGAGCTTCATCGTCTCACCCATCAAGCCGCTATCGACGGACCAGAAAATGTTATCGTATATCGACGGACCAGAAAATGTTATTGTATATCGACGGAACAGAAAATGTTGTATACAAAATTGATGTTGTGATGATGGTGGTATGAAATGTTCCCGTTTACACGGTCAAAAAAACACAGTACACTTCCTGTCTAATAATAACAACACAATTACACTTTAATGTCTCTAATAAGTGAGTGACTCTCTGGCATTCCACAATCGAGCAACACTCCGGTACCCGACAATCATTTGATAACTACAATATTGGTTCTTGACCAGCCACACAGTTACCCACTCTGGTTAGCTCCCCGGTCAGTACTGCCGTCAGCACTCCTTTCAGCACTGCCTCCACACACACTCTGACTCTACACACACCCAAAGGGAAGCGCACAAATTTTCCCTCTCTCACCATTTCTCCCTTTCTAGGCGGGACAATCTCCCCCACATTCTTGGGGATACTGTTACCTCACCCACCTGACACGTGTGACCAAGCTGTGAACTGTCCATCACCACTTGCTGACATCCACACACCTGACACATGTTACAACTGAACTTAACAACAGGCATTGATAAAATGAAGAGAAAGGGTGCAATTTGGCCCTTTAAAATAAAGGACTAGAACAGTTTAACTAAAATAAAGAATCGTCCTTTGAAATAAAGGACATCTGGCACTACTAATTTAAATTAACTATACTATATCCTAAAATACAAGCCAATAAAGAAAAACGAATATAGCCAGCAACCAGTTAGTGTTGCATAAACTGTGCGTGTGTGTGGATAGATCTCCATGTAGTATCCTATGCCGGGTCCCCTTCCATCACCAACCGGTCTCTTTTGAATGGCCGAATGGCCGAGTGTCAAGGTGGCAGCCTACTGTTCTGAGGGGGCCTGATTCGAATCTGCCCACGTTCGAATCCGGCCCCCTCAGGATCGAAAAGCCCTAGGAATTTTTTAGGTGGTGGTCCGTCTTGATATGTCGGGCCCCGTTCCTCACCATCCGGCCACTCCATTGTGGACCTGGCCGAACCCATAATGGGGTTGCTTAGTGCCCACAGGGTAGAAGAGTTTTAAAAAAAGGTTACCTTCATTGTGAGACCTGTCCAAACCCACGAAGATCATGCGAAAGAGGTCCCTTTTGTCCAGAAGACAGAGCCAAAACTAATAATTAATTTTAAAATTATGTGTATCTATTTGTTTTTTTAGCTGTTTTTTTCATGTTTTTTCTTCATAAATAACACCTTATCTGATGAAATAAACAGTGATAACAAAATTCGTCATCAATACGATAAAACACAATGATTTCAAAACGATAATAGAGAAATTTTTGGTTTGAATCTCACCCAGAGCATTTATTTATGCATATAAGATAGCTTGTACCTGCTTTTTTTTCAAATTATATATATATATATATATTTATTTCGCTATGTGTAAAGCATGCCAGTGGCCAGTGAATAATATCACTGTACACTGATAATCAATTCTGAATTTACTAAAATGCTGAAAAATATTTTAAGACAATCGTGATATTACGATAAGTATTAAATGGTATACATAGAAATCTAACAAATATTTTTATGTCCAAAAAGATAATAATACAAAGAACGGTTAAAACAATTAGAATAAATTTTATTTATACTTGTAAAAAAACATAAATAAAATGTTTAAAGTTTGCTGTGTCTTTCAAGAAATAATCCTATAATTATCACATTTTTTATAAAATATTACATCTTTTCTTAACAGAATAACTATCTTCGAATACACACGCTTTGAAGTATATTATTTGAAATAGAAAAATAACAAAAAATTCTATTATCTTTGATAACAGAATTGAATATTTGTTATTGATGTGATGAAAGACAGTCTAATCACATATTATTCTTTTGTTATAAAGCTAGGAATACTATTAAATAACATATCACAATTACTGCAATCATTTCCTATTCCACTGATTATTTTGAAAAGAATATTACACTAATTTACAACATTAGCAACAAGTTTTTCTAGGCTTTGGATTTAGTTTTATCAAAGGAGTAGCTTCAGTATTTGTTTCTCGAATTTTGTCAGACATCCGATTGACTAAAAATAATCATAATAAATATTTAATAAGAAATAAAAGAATATTAAACAGAATATTAAATCATAATTACCCATTGTATAAAATAGTTCTTTCACATTTTGAGAAGTTAATGCACTAGTTTCCATAAATAAAGCTCCTATTTCATTAGCATATTTCTGACCATCTGGAAATAAAGCAAATATTTTATTAAAAAATACATAAATATACAGTCGACCCCCATAACACTGTTGATTATTCCGTTTTATATGAATTCCATGTTGTACGAGTNATTACAATTGTTTATAAAACCCATCCCTATCTTCAAAATTAAGCTTTTTGCCATTTTCTAATAGTTAAAAATATAAAAATTTTTAAAAATAAAATATCATAACAGATGGCGCCACCAAATGTCACCGGGAAAGTTAAGCAACTCGTTGCAGGATTATTTAAATTGACAGATCTGAAAAGAATTTGATTTCCCCCTCAGTAGTGAGATATGATTTTTAATGTATTTCTGTAATATAATTTTTAAACATTTTAACAGGATTTTTTTTAGGAATCAGAGTTGCCGATTTTCGGGGGTCGATTTCTCCGCCGTCCAATTATCTATAGCAATTCTGAATATCGCATTCGAAAGACATTTGTTTTCTTAGTAGTGTTTTAAAAATTTCAGATTTTTCTATAAAGAGGTTGGCGAAATATAAGCAATAGAAAAGTGTTAAGCATCCTGCACTAGAATCCAGAGCAAGCAAAGCTTGATTGTGTGGCCATTTAATGATACAATTACTCATGAGAATTGGTATTGTCCCGGAGAAATGAAAGAGTTTGTTATTAGTTCTAGTTTGTAAGAGTGGATATAAGATGGTTCCTAAAAATTATACAGGTACAACGTTGCTGTGTCGTGTTTCAAAAATTTTTTTGCAGAAGTTTATCTTATAGGTTATAAAGAAGGTTGAATATGAGGAATATTTTGTAAGAGAATCAGACTGGTTTTTGTACACGTTATTTGAAATTTACTAATTTATCAGGATTACGTTGCATCACACTGAAGTCAGCAACCGTATTTTTTTCGGCGAAATATTTGTTCTCGAACGTCCAGAACGATTGCCAACAAAGAACACTTCTAGCGGCATTCTTATATGAATTATTTTTGAACAAATTTATATACATTTATTGTATTTATCTTATAATTATAATTATTATTATTTTAATAAAGACCGCTCGTTTTGCCACTCAGGGCAGGAGCTTCATCGTCTCACCCATCAAGCCGCTATCGACGGACCAGAAAATGTTATCGTATATCGACGGACCAGAAAATGTTATTGTATATCGACGGAACAGAAAATGTTGTATACAAAATTGATGTTGTGATGATGGTGGTATGAAATGTTCCCGTTTACACGGTCAAAAAAACACAGTACACTTCCTGTCTAATAATAACAACACAATTACACTTTAATGTCTCTAATAAGTGAGTGACTCTCTGGCATTCCACAATCGAGCAACACTCCGGTACCCGACAATCATTTGATAACTACAATATTGGTTCTTGACCAGCCACACAGTTACCCACTCTGGTTAGCTCCCCGGTCAGTACTGCCGTCAGCACTCCTTTCAGCACTGCCTCCACACACACTCTGACTCTACACACACCCAAAGGGAAGCGCACAAATTTTCCCTCTCTCACCATTTCTCCCTTTCTAGGCGGGACAATCTCCCCCACATTCTTGGGGATACTGTTACCTCACCCACCTGACACGTGTGACCAAGCTGTGAACTGTCCATCACCACTTGCTGACATCCACACACCTGACACATGTTACAACTGAACTTAACAACAGGCATTGATAAAATGAAGAGAAAGGGTGCAATTTGGCCCTTTAAAATAAAGGACTAGAACAGTTTAACTAAAATAAAGAATCGTCCTTTGAAATAAAGGACATCTGGCACTACTAATTTAAATTAACTATACTATATCCTAAAATACAAGCCAATAAAGAAAAACGAATATAGCCAGCAACCAGTTAGTGTTGCATAAACTGTGCGTGTGTGTGGATAGATCTCCATGTAGTATCCTATGCCGGGTCCCCTTCCATCACCAACCGGTCTCTTTTGAATGGCCGAATGGCCGAGTGTCAAGGTGGCAGCCTACTGTTCTGAGGGGGCCTGATTCGAATCTGCCCACGTTCGAATCCGGCCCCCTCAGGATCGAAAAGCCCTAGGAATTTTTTAGGTGGTGGTCCGTCTTGATATGTCGGGCCCCGTTCCTCACCATCCGGCCACTCCATTGTGGACCTGGCCGAACCCATAATGGGGTTGCTTAGTGCCCACAGGGTAGAAGAGTTTTAAAAAAAGGTTACCTTCATTGTGAGACCTGTCCAAACCCACGAAGATCATGCGAAAGAGGTCCCTTTTGTCCAGAAGACAGAGCCAAAACTAATAATTAATTTTAAAATTATGTGTATCTATTTGTTTTTTTAGCTGTTTTTTTCATGTTTTTTCTTCATAAATAACACCTTATCTGATGAAATAAACAGTGATAACAAAATTCGTCATCAATACGATAAAACACAATGATTTCAAAACGATAATAGAGAAATTTTTGGTTTGAATCTCACCCAGAGCATTTATTTATGCATATAAGATAGCTTGTACCTGCTTTTTTTTCAAATTATATATATATATATATTTATTTCGCTATGTGTAAAGCATGCCAGTGGCCAGTGAATAATATCACTGTACACTGATAATCAATTCTGAATTTACTAAAATGCTGAAAAATATTTTAAGACAATCGTGATATTACGATAAGTATTAAATGGTATACATAGAAATCTAACAAATATTTTTATGTCCAAAAAGATAATAATACAAAGAACGGTTAAAACAATTAGAATAAATTTTATTTATACTTGTAAAAAAACATAAATAAAATGTTTAAAGTTTGCTGTGTCTTTCAAGAAATAATCCTATAATTATCACATTTTTTATAAAATATTACATCTTTTCTTAACAGAATAACTATCTTCGAATACACACGCTTTGAAGTATATTATTTGAAATAGAAAAATAACAAAAAATTCTATTATCTTTGATAACAGAATTGAATATTTGTTATTGATGTGATGAAAGACAGTCTATTCACATATTATTCTTTTGTTATAAAGCTAGGAATACTATTAAATAACATATCACAATTACTGCAATCATTTCCTATTCCACTGATTATTTTGAAAAGAATATTACACTAATTTACAACATTAGCAACAAGTTTTTCTAGGCTTTGGATTTAGTTTTATCAAAGGAGTAGCTTCAGTATTTGTTTCTCGAATTTTGTCAGACATCCGATTGACTAAAAATAATCATAATAAATATTTAATAAGAAATAAAAGAATATTAAACAGAATATTAAATCATAATTACCCATTGTATAAAATAGTTCTTTCACATTTTGAGAAGTTAATGCACTAGTTTCCATAAATAAAGCTCCTATTTCATTAGCATATTTCTGACCATCTGGAAATAAAGCAAATATTTTATTAAAAAATACATAAATATACAGTCGACCCCCATAACACTGTTGATTATTCCGTTTTATATGAATTCCATGTTGTACGAGTCACTTAGATTTTACAAATACATGTGCCCCGGCACATGTATTTGTAAAATCTAAGTGACTTGTACAACATGGAATTCATATAATATGGAATTATCAACAATGTTATGGGGGGTCGACTGTACAATCCTTTTCTTTTTTTTATGACAAGGTTTAGAATGGTGAACATCTCGTTGAAGCTGAAAATTATCATACAACATAACGAACTTTTGACCTATATTAATTAATTATGTTAATAAGTGTTGGGTTGTGAATTATGCATTGGTAATATTATAGGGCATTTTATTAATGACAATTACTTTTAATTTATTATGTTGTCACTTTGTAAAACGAAATTTGCATATTTGGTTACGTAATTTTAGTAATTTCCTAACCTGTTCTTTTCACTTCTATTTTAAATTATTCATTGTTTATTTAGTTTATTATTATTATATTATTATTATTCATACATGCGTTATATAATATCAGAAGGTGGCTAGAGACCAGACAAATTTGGACGGACCACCCCCGACAAATTCCTAGGGTTTCTCGACTCGTTCGGTTTCGATTCCGTATCCCCAGAGTGATAGGATGCCATCTTAACCGCTCGGCCATACGGCCTGTAAAATGTGTTTGTATCTTCGATTGTTTGCAAATCTTGCTGT